TAGCTACTCTGATCAGGACAATGATCCAAGACAGTTCCAAAGGACATATGATGAAAAATGCTATCCACCTCCAGAGATAGAACTGATGTACTCTTAATGCATATTGAAGAATACAGTTTCTAATTTTCCTAATTTTGCTTGTTTTTTTTTTGTCTGTTTTATAACATGGCTAATATGGATATGTATTTTTCATGACTCATTATATTGCTTGCCTTTTAAAGAGGTGGAAGAGAGAATTTGAAACTCAATTTTTAAAAAATGAATGTTAAACATTTTTACATGTAATTGGGAAATATTTAATAAAATAAATGAAAATATATTTTAAAAATAAAGAAAAAGGATAAGCAAAAGAGATGGGTGAGACCCATACTGTATATTAAGAAGGTATAATCATTGGGAGGAAACCCAAAAACAAGAGAGAGAAAGCATGACAGAGAGCATTTAGGTGAAGATTAATAGAGAAAAAATAGAAGTGATTTTGGCTATGGACCACCTAAACAGAAAGAGAAAATAGATGAGGAATTTAGGAAACATCTCAACCCTGAAATAGAGGCTTGATGTAGGAATGATAAACTTTAGTAATGCATACAGATGCTGGAGCTCACTTTACTCTCTGCTAAAAGTGGAGCAGCTAACAATTTCATAACTAACATTCCTGATAATTTAATTCTTCAAAAAAGTACAGAAAACAATATATCAAAATGCTATTCTGCATGGAATTCTCACTAACTGGGAGGAACTGATTTCAGGGTAGAAATGATAGAAATTGGGAGGGGAGGGAGGTTGAAGAAAGTGACCAGTCCCTCCTAGAGTTTGTGACAGAGAAGCTGGACTTGATTTTAAGGAAGTATATTTCAAAGGGTTCAGAGGAAGGATAGGTCAAATCCTTGAAGTCAAATGATGTATTAGAGTAGTGGTGCTGTGACCTCATGCAAATAGGAGTGTGTATGTAGAGAGTAATAATGTGTTTGGAAGACTGTTATAGTAATGTACTAGAGAGTGTTATAATGATATGTGGACACTGGGTGATGCCTGAGGTAAGACTGGCCAATATCCCAGCACCAGGGTAGGCTACCAAGTAGATACCCTGCTAGATTAGCTGAAGCCTGTAGGCTTAAAAGGGAAACACCTCACTAGTGTAGCTGAGGCCTACTAGGCCCCAATGGCAGCTAGCTGTCCCATAAGATTGATGTATGTGCCCCACAGAATATGCTAACGAGGCAACCTTAAGATGGCATCAGCAAGGGATGCATCATCCTAGGACTGCCTCCAAGGCAAAGTATAAGAGGTGGCGCTGGTGCCCCAGAGCCCCAAGCACTGCCTAGCCAGCAGTCATCCATCATCCAGTGCTCCCAGTGGTCTCAGAACATAAGTCATCTATATTCTCATTTTAGTGTTCAGTAAATTATGTGAGCATTTAACTTTTTTTATGTGAGATAATTTACCCCATTCTACCTCTCCCTTTCTCCTTCTCCCAGTATAATCCTCTCTCACCCCTTAATTTTATTCTCCAGATATCACCCCTTCATCTTCAACTCATCCTGTGCCCTCTATCGATATAGATATACATATATATATATATACATACATATAGGTTTTACCCTCCAACTACCCTAATACTGACAAAGGTCTCATGAGACGTAGAGAGCAGCAACCACACCTATCATAGGGGAACATGGTGCTTTGAGTCCATGGGTAGAAAGCAAAGGCCTCAACAGGAATCCCCTGACAGAGCAACTAGTTCAATAGACAGGATTCTCTATGGGATGCTTCTTTAGCAGTAGGGCAAGAGGAATACTTGGAAGACTGAGACAGGTCCTGAAACAGCAAGGACAGAGATTCTAGGAGGCAGGTAGAGATGTGTGGAGCCCCAGCACAGAAGGTTTCTGTACCTTCTGCTTTGAGGTTTGTCCCTGTTGTTGCCAGTAGTGAAGAAAGGAGGAGAGGGCACCAGCACAGCAGTGATGGGAAGAAGGGGGGCTAATAACTCTTTTGTAGCACAATGAGACTCCCAGAGGAGTAGGGGACCAGACAGTGAAAGCCTAAAGCTACTGAGTGTGGGAGTTATCCCACCTACTCCATGAGAGTTGGAATAAGTGAATCAAGGACACTATCCTGGAGATCAGGTGAAGCCACTTGTTCATAGGCCTCAGGAAGGGAGGGTACAAGGACCGACTGGGGGCACCAATCGGGCAACCAGCGAAGCCACTCATTTGCAGATCTCAGGCTGCTGGAGTCAATCCCTTTTTAGAAGAGGTAAAGTGACTTGTTAATGCCAGCTCAAGTAAGTAAACGGGTGGATGAGAGAAAAGGGAACATAAAAGGAGCACAGCCATTTGTAACCTCAGGCACTCTAGAGGTGGCACAGAATCCCAGAGAGGCAGTCCACCGATAAAACTTTATCCAACTGGGCTAGCACAGACTCAGCACCATGCTGAGGGCCAACCAGCCCAGAAAGGCCAGAGATTGCATGGTAGAGTCCCCATTCCTCTATCGCAGGGAGCCAGCATTAGTAGGGCACCCACCCCAGACAAGGAAGGAATGTGGAATAGGTTTAGGAGAGAGTAGAATCATAAGTAAGGCCTGCTCATGCCTCTGTTGCTGTTTGTGCTGCTGCCACAAAAAAGTCCCAGTCCCCAGGGGTACCAGCAACCCAGCATGTAGTGCCAGCAGGTGCCAATTCATCTCCAGGTTCCTTACTTGTCCCACATGATCACCACTTCCTGATTCTCTGGAAATGAAAGAACTAAAATGACTATAATAGGGAGTTGATACATTGATAAAGAAAAAGTTAAATAGAGCACCAGCCCTGGATTCAGGAGGACCTGAGTTCAAATGTGGCCTCAGAAACATAACACTTATTAGCTGTGTGACCCTGGGCAAGTCACTGTACCTACCGCATTGCCTAACCCCCCCTCCCAAAAAAGAGAGAAAGTTAAGAGTATTTAGTTTCCCTTGCTGAAGTAAAGTCATCTGGCCCAGATGAACTATATCCATGAGTATTGAAAGAATTGGCAGATATGATTGCTAAGCCACTATCAGTAATATTTGAAAAATTACAGAAAAACAAAAGATGTCACAGGCCTGGAGAATGGCAAATATTTCAGTTTTCAAGATAGGGAAGAAACAGTTTATAAACTATAAGCCAGGGAGCTTGACTTAAGATTACTGGGGAAACTCTTGCTCATTAAAGAGATAGTGAACATCTAGCAAAAGAAAAAGTGGTTATAAAGAGCCAGCATGACTTCATCAAGGACAGGTCACATCAGACATTTACATGGTTTATTTTTACAGGGCTACTAAAGATTTCAGCAAATCTTTTGACAAATTATTTCATAGTATTCTTGTGGAGAAGATGGAGAAATGGTCACTAGACAATAATACAGATTGATTCAAAACAGGTTGGATGGCCAGACTAGAGTCCTTAAAGTCCTTAAAGCTTTAATATCAATGTGACAGGAAGTCCAAATAGAATATCTAAGGGTTCTGTGCTTGGCCCTGTGCTGCTTTAACAATTTATCAGCAACTTCAATGAAGGCATGGATGTCACACTTATCAAATTTGCAAGTGACACAAAGCTGGAAGTCAAACATACTGGATAAGAGTCAGGATCCAAAAAGATCTTGACTGGCACTGGGATAACTCTAGTAAAATGAAATTCAGTAGGAATAAATGTAAAGTCATATGGGTACAAAAAATATACTTCACAAGTACTAGATCAGGGAGGAGGATCAGACAGCATTTCTGGAAAAAAATCTGGGAGTGAACTATATGCTCAATATGAGTCAGCAGTGAGATTTGGCAGCCAAAATAACTAATGCTATGTTGAGCTACATTAAGAGAAATATAGTTTCCAAGAATAGGGATGTAATAATCCTACTGAACTCAAATGAAGGAAAAAGTATCTATTAAACAACTCAGTATGTTCCAAGTACTGTGTTAATCTTTGGAGATAGAAATACAAAATGCATAAAGGTCCCTGCCCTCAAAGAGCTTGTATTCTAGAATGAGAGAAGACTCCATATATAGGGGGAAGAGAGTTTTGGTCTGAGAAGTCACAGAGATTGTGAGTAGAGCCAAAGGACAATTGTCTTTTCAGGAATAGTAGTACTGATTAATTACTGAACTTGGATCTACAGGTTCAAAAGGGAGGGAAGAGAAACAAACACACAAGGGAGACATGGCATGAAGACAGCAAGAAAGCAACAGAAAAATTTAACCAGTCAGGAACCTAAGACTCCAGAGCAGAAGATGCAGCCCTGAGTCAATGGATCAGTGGCCAAGATGAGGGTCAGGTCTCATTTGATGTATTATAATCAGGAACAAATCCATTCAGAGAGTCAGTGGGCCTGAGTCTGCAGGTGGAGAGAAGGAGGCACATTTCACTATACTAAAGAATGAAAAGGTAGATTAAAAAATATATTTTCTGATGTACAATGAGCTGTCACCCTTTCTTTTCTCTCTAATCCAAAGGGATAACCAAGTTCAAGTTTCTCTTATTTCACCTGGACTACTGCAATAACCTCTTAATTCGTTCGTGGGCCCCCACTCTCTACCCCTTTCAATCCATCCTCTACCCAGCTGCCAAATTAATATTCCTAAAGCACAAGTCTGATCACATCACTTTCCTGAAAGACCCTTGTTACCTTGATGATTTAAAAAAAAAAACCACCACCAAACTCCTCTGGCACTTAAAACACTCCAGATGTTTTCAAACATTTCCAGTCTTCCACATTGCTTCCCCTTGTACTCTGCCTTCCAATGAAACTGGTCCCCTTGTTGTCCCTATACAAGCCCACCGGCCCACTCTGCACATTTTCACAAGCTACTTTATGGGCCTTGGGCTGCTCTTCTTCCTCATCCTCCACTGGAAAGCCTGACTTTTCTGACCTCTCCCCATCCTCCAACCCTTAGTCTTTGCCACAATGCTAGTTACTTTGTACATAGTATATATTTATTTGTAAAAATTGTAACACCTTTCAGTAAAATAGAAACTTACCAAAGGCAGAGACTGTTTTGTTTTTATTTATATGCTCAGGACAGGTTGTCTACAACATAGTAGGCACTTAATAACTCAATTGAATAAAAGGTAGCTCTTTTATTTGTTATGTTACAAACATTCTACATATCCTTTCAGTTGCAAACTCTTATCAAAGCTACTGTAACATCATAACATCGGCCATCTGTCCCCTTCTCCACTCCCCCTATCATGACCTCAGCTTAGATTCCCATAGCTCCTAACTGATCTCAACTAAATTTCTTTGCATATGTCCTACATTTACCTATTTTTAAATGCTTTTATGTATCTTTTGATTCATATCATCTACTTTTTTCCTTTATATTTTTCTCCCAGAAAGTCATTACTTATAAGAAAGAATTATAAAAAGATTGTGTAAAACTAAAAGATTTTTGTAATAATTAAACTAAGGCCCCTAGGATAAGAAGAGTCTCTGATGACTGGGGTGGGGGGGGGGAGAGGAAGGGGAGCCTACATAAAATACCTCTGATACAGCTCTGCTATTCAAAATACATAAATAACTAACAAATAACAGATCAAAAGCCATTCCCCAATAAACAAAGGATACAAATAAAATGTCCTCAAAATAAAAATTGTAAACTATGAACAACCACATGAAATGTTCCAAGTCACTAATAACAGAAATGCTAATCAAATAACTGTGAGGTTTTAACTCACAGGAAACAAATTGTCAAAGATAACAAAAGATGGGAATAATCACTTTTGTACTGGTTGTGGAAAGAATGGTACAGGGATGCCATATGGGTGGAGCATGAATTGGTCCAATCATTCTGGAAAGCAATTTGGAATTATTAAATAAAGTGACTAAATTGTCCTTAGTTTTCCCAGGCTTCATCTAGTGCCCTGTTATGGTTTTCCACTCCAATCACTGAAATCAGGACATGAGATATGCAAAGTACCTTTCAAAATACCATGTTCTAAAGATACCTGGGTTTCTTCTGGATTATTTCATAAAAAACAAATCTTGATCCCCTCAGCAAACTTTCTGAGACCATCAAGTACCAAAATGAGCTTATTATAAATCCCAAACCACACAGGCTCAATAAGCAAACACTCAGCACCTAAGTAAATGCCCTGGCCCAAGCATGAGGACCTTGCCTAAGAATTTGAAGAAAACCCTTGAGATATAATGTATGAAATGAACACGATGTCGAATCCTTGTGCTAAGCAGTTGACAGTGTATTGCTTCAAGAACAGGGATAAATAAATCAAGTACAAAGAAACTAAAAGAATTTCCTTGGCAGAAAGAAACTTGAAATATAATCTGCTAATGCTTGTTTATGGCACAAAACAGATAAGCCATTCAAAACAAAGCAAAAAAACCAGGTTAAAAACAATAAAAATTATAATGTGTCGATAACAAAGTATTCTGTAAGTAAATAAATATGACTGAAACTAAAATTCACCACTTCTCTCAAAACTAAACCAAACCTACCACAAAGAGATGACTTTCTGATAATGAACATAAGATTCTCTTTCTCTTCAAACTTTTTTGTATGCAATAAGAAATAACTATTACTGCTACTGGTAAACTTACCATACAATGACATAAATGAGTCCGAATTTGACTTTCTCCACTATTTAACATGCCTATTTCCAACCCTCACAAAACAAACAAACAAAAAACCTAAGAAGTAGGAGGTGAGGCAGAGAGAAAAGATCACACATAAGAGCTGGAAATTACACACAATGGGGAAAACTAAGTCTTCCCACACTTACAAAACCAGGAAGATGGTAACTTTTCCTCTGTAGGAACAGAATGACTACAAACATGTTCCATCACTGGGGCTGTCAGCCATCTTCCAGGTTACAGAGCAGCTAGTTACTAGAAGGTTTTATATATGAATTTAGCTAGGAGTCAGGCTTCTCCAAGGCTGAACAAGAATAAGATTAGGGAACTACAGATCTCTTTAAAGGTTGAAAGTAATCTCTTGGAAGTGTTAGTTTCCTGCAGAAGAGAAAGAGCCAGTCATTTTGTTTTCTACATTCTCGTCTTCCTTTCCTCCCATCAACAGCAGTTCTATTTTCTCTTGCAAGGACATGCTAGATTGTGTCTATTTTGGTGTATCAGTTTGTTCCTTCCGAGTTACTTTGACATCCTTTGACTCCTGTCGACCAAAGCAACTAGGTGTCTCTGTAGTAGAGTCACCTGTTTCCGGCTCCTCTGTGGAAGATGAATGTTGATATTTTGTTCTCACTTGTTTGCTGTCATATTTTGTTTCTTGTTTCTGCAAACATGTATCTTCCTGAGCCTGGTGAGGTTTGAGACAACCTAAATTCAAAGCTTTAGGAAGCATGGCTCCTTCAAAAGGCAAAGAACCTCTAGTGTTTTTTTGTTTCCCTTCTTCTACTGGCTTTTCTTTGGGACATACTAGCTGCGGTCTAACTAGGAGCCCCTCTGCATTTGTCTCATAATCTTTCATGGCTCGTTCCCTTCGAAGTCTCTGGAAATCCATCAGCTGACGCAACTCCTCTGGCAGCTCCATACATGATGGCTAAATAAAGAAAAAGAAACATTCCTGCTTTTTCAAAAACTTCTGAATACTGTATTTGAAATCATCTTACACTTAACTTGTAAGCAATTGCCCATACCTTAAATTATGTTAACACAGTGCCCTCTAGTGACATCAACTAGTATTGAGGATGGAAATAAGTAAGTTCATCCACAATTTTTTAAGACCTGGTATGAATGTGCACATGGTGACAAATAATTCCAGAATGTGGCCCCAGTTAGAATATTTGTCCCCATGCAATGCTATCAATATAAAGTTTGTTATAGCAACTGGGAAATAGCTCAATGTAATGATAAAAACACATGGAGTCAGAAAACCTAAGCTCAAGTCCTGGCCAACCTTTATGTGATGATGGACAAGTCTCTTATTCTCTCTCTCTTAGTTTTCTGATCTGTAAATAGGGATAATACTTGCATGACCTCACAAGGTTATTGTAAGGAAAGCACTGTGTAAATCAAAGTTCTCTATAAATACTGATTTAGTAAACATTTCAAGTAGAATAGTTCCACCATTTTCCCTAAAAAATTAAGAATACTGGAGCAGCAAGGTGGTGCAGTGGACAGAGCTCCAGCCTTGGAGTCAGGAGGACCTGAGTTCAAATCTGACCTCAGACACTTGACACTCACTAGCTGTGTGACCCTGGCCAAGTCACTTAACCCTGATCGCCTCACCAAAAATAAAAAAAAAATAAAATAAGAATACCGAGGTCTTTTTGTCATCTACCAGACAAGCAAAGTTGTGCCTACCTCTGTGCCTCCCAACAGACCTCCAGACCCTTCCCGATAGGTATTTAAATATGCATCCACCATCATAGTCAGGTCAGACATCATCTCATCCAGAAGCAACAAGCGAAGGGGCAGCAAATATGTTGTCTCCAGGGCTAGCACTTTCAGCAAGGAAGGTGGGAGAGGTCGCATAAACCATATTTCAGGATTCTCCTGTAGCCATCAAAATAATGTCTTCTGAATTATAAGCAAATATTTAAGGCTAATATCTACTTTTATCCATGTTTCCTTTACTCACGGAGTAGCAGCTTACTGAATTATTACTCTGCACTTATCTGATAATTTAGTCAACTATTTCTTAATGTTTCCTTATAAGGAAGTATATCTCATGCTCTGCCTCCTCAAATTTCAAAAGATGAGAGAAGGATAACTTCTAATCAGATGGAGACTTCTTCACCCAGAGCTATTCCTAGTATAGATAAATGAACAAGTCTTATGATTCTTGTGGCCATGGCCTAAAATCTGGAGATCACCATCAGACCACCCCAGTAGCTGAAGAAATTATCCTTTCTTTGTGAGAAGCAGCTGGAAAAATTTTGATTCCTATTCCCTCAATTAAGAATCTTGCCCCTCTACCCCTAAACTTGAAAACTGAATGCTTTCAGAGAACATCTCTTTGGAAACACAATAAGACTGGTCTTGGCAAGGTTACAAAGATTTTCCAAAGCAGGAAAATTAAGAATTTGGTACTATGTATACTTCTAGATTGCATCTAGCTCTTCCCTTATATAAGCTGATCACCTGATTCAGCAAACACTAGAAAAAACAATACCAAGCAGAATATTCTTTGAAAGTCTCTACCAATCACCTGAACCATCTTTTGCTTGTCATCCAGGAAGGAGACACATTTGGAGGACATTTTAAGGTGTCGAATTAAGCTCTCCTGCAAGGTACTGATGCAATGTGGAAGAAAGCCACCTGTTTCCATGGAAAACTGAAGGACATCAGCCACCTGTTATATTACAAAATAAAAATAAAAATAAAAAACCACCCCAAAATATTTGTGCAGTGTGAAAACACTATAAAGTAGAATTACAAAAACACAGTAATGTAGTTAATATCTGTGTGACCTGGTACAAATCACTTATCATCTTTGGACCTCAGTTTTATTATCTATAAAATAACACGGTCTGACTAGGTGGGTTCTGTAAGATCCCTTCTGGCTCTACATCTATGACGCTAGTATTATTCCATCATGGCATAAATGGTCTGTACCCTGTATTCATGTTACACAATCAACTGCTGACCTCTCCAAAAACTAATTATCTAGTTCATGAACTATCCCTGCCTAATACTTTTGTTCTTTTCAAGGGCCATGAGTACTTTCATTAGAGACACAATAAAGAAGTAAAATTCAAGAACCAAATATGCTGTTTGTTCATTCAGGTAAAGATTTCATAGAGAAGGTGGTTGTAATTAATGTTAAAAATAAATTTATCTATAAACTCCATTAGCACAAATAATAACAAAATAAACATATAATAAATGGATCATAAAAATCTAAGTCTTGAACTCCTGCTTCCTGGTCTATGGATATCTGACAGAAGTCTGAAAAGGTTACAGCAAGGCCTTCTTTATAAGATGTATATAGGCACAAAGTAAGAAAAACAGAAGACCTGGGGATAACCCTAGGAGAACAACTCCTTAGCTAAAGAGTGGTACTTTTCTTGAGCTGAAGGGTAAGCACAGAGGAAATCTCTTCTTTAGTGAAATAGCCTGAAAGTCAGAAAGGTCCTGAAAAAAAAATCCTAACAGAGAAAAATAACACGAAGGTTCCTACGTGAAGAAACACAAAAAACATAAACCAATCTACGGTTTCAATGAACAGACTTGATTTTTCTGTGGTTACTGGCCAACAAAACTTATACAGCCTTTTAGTTTATTATATTTGTTGATGAGTTGAGATTAATTTTATCTTCTCTCCTCAAAAGGCTTCAAACTAGAACCCCAGTATTGGCCCAAACCAGATGGCCTAAAAAGAGCTTTAAAAAGCCTACTGCAAATCACTGTGAAATTAGCTGCCTGAATTTATTTGCTCCTAAGGCCATAACCAGGAATTTAAGTTTCCTTTTAGTTCTGGACTACCAGGGTTTCTCTAAGACTATCCTAAATGCTAAAGAATTCTAAGGAAAACAGATCATTTGAGCTAGACACTCTCTCCATGCTATTATGAAGCATATTTCATTCCCTGGTTCTGCCCAGTTTTGACTTGCAGACCTCATCCACAAGCATCCTGATTCTCATAAGTGAATCATTTTTCACCTCCTGGTATTGTCTTTAAGGAATGAGCACTAAAAGCCATAATTTCAGATGTCTACATACAAATGCACAAAATACAGGTGACCTATACAAAATGATCTGGAGATCCTGATATGAAGAGGCCAAGTTTACTTCACAGTTATTCCTGAGACTTGGTGGGATGAAGCCCATGACTAGGATATGGCTCTAAAGGAAGAAAAAACAAGCAACAGGTGTAGAATAGCAACATCTATCAAGAAATGCGAGGGGAGGAAATTTCAGAACGGGAAGGGTAAAGCATGATATCTGGGTGAAGATTTGAGAACCACAAGTGGCATCCTCTGAACTGGAAAGGACAAAACAAAAATGACCAATCTGGTATTCAAACTCAAGATGTTCAAGATAATAAGAAAATGTTTTGCTTTTGTCAGAGCTCTGTTTCCTCAAGTCAGCAGATTCATGAGAATTCCAGCCTCAGGTGACTGCAAGAACCTGCAGATGTGGTTGCTAACCCACTCTATCAATGATCTCTGAAGGACTGCTGAGAAAAGAAGTGCTATAGGACAAGAGGACAAATGTTCCAATTGTCAAAGCAGTTAAGAAGGTAGAATCTGTAAGGCAAAGAGTGGTAAGCTTGATTTCAGTTCCTAGAAAAATTCTAGAATGCCATTAAAGTTACTGAATACCTAAAAAGGAAAACATGGCCTAGTCAAGTCAGGCTGTAACGGACTAACTTCACTTCATTATGTGACATGGGACTACTGGACTGGTAGAAGAAGAGAATGTCATCAACAACTTTTACCTAGAAATCAGAGTCCTTGGCAGTCTTTCCTAATATTCTTATGGAGAAGACAGATGAAGGCTAAACAACAGAACAGTTAGGTACATTTGGATTCCTGAGGTGATGTCAAGCTGTTCGGAGGTCTTTAGTGGAATGCCCAGGTTCTGTTCTTATTTCTCTGCCACTTCACATTTATCAGTGACTTCAACGAAGTAGTCAATGTCATGCTTATCAAATCTGTGTATAATACAAAGCTGGAAGGGATAACTACCACAATGGATATTAGGATGAAAAAGTTCTTGATAGACCAGAACAATGGACCAAATCTAATAAAATGCAATTACTAAAGAAAATGTAAATTCCTACATGTGAGTCCAAATATTCCAACTTTCCAAAAACAGTTTTCTTAAAAAGATATCACAGGGAAATACAAGGTGCCAAATTATCAGTGTGATCTTAGGCTACACTGAGGATGGAACAGTGTTCACAACAAGGGAGGTGACAGCCCTACCACACTGTGCCTGCTTAGACCACAACTGGAGGACTGTTTTTTGTTTGAGATTCCATGTTTGAAGGTAGATTGCACTGTTCTTAAACTGAAGAGTCTCCATAAAAAGATAACCAGAATAGAAGGGCCTCAAGGTCATGCCATTAGGTTTGATGTAAGGAAAAAGTGCCTACCTGTCCATGATGGGATGCCTCAAGAGGTACAATGGAGGTCTCAAGAAAAGGTCAGATGAACACCTATGAAGGATGCTGCAGAGGGACTTAGCAGCCTTTGAATTCCCTTTCAATTCTGAGACCTTGTGAGTCACTGCCAGATTCCCGAATTTCTCCTCTTTATACAATGGGACTAGCCATTTAGCATAATGAGGCATTGACTTTATTTCTTGTCATATTTCTTTCAAGAGAACTTTAAAAAAAGAATCATATATATCCTATACTAAAAAGTGACTCATTTATTCCTCTGAATCAGAATCTACTGTTTTCTACAGATACAAACAACAAAATACACATATTCCAATATACCTCTGTATGCCAGAGGAGGTATACAGTGAAACAGTGACAAGAGTTATGAGCTGAAAAATACGAAGACTCATGCTGGAGTCTTGGTTCTGACACTTACTACAAGGGTAATTTTAGGCAAGTAAGTTCCTTCTCTGGGACTCAGTCTTGTCTGTACGACAAAGACAGTACTACTGCACTCCCTGCCTCCTCCAGCTACGGGGAAATGTTTTGCACAGCATAATATAAATATCAGCTATTATTATTGCACACACCTGTGTGTCAAATACATTAGAAAGAACAATTCCATACTGATGAGAAAGGCAGTCAGAAAGCCAACGACAATCATGAATAACCTGAAGAACAAGAAAACAAGAAGATCAGGACCTGACTGACACCACAAGCACCATTCTCAGACTACCCCCCTTCATTCCACATATCAGGAGAGTCACTTATACTCACTTTCAAAATCTTCCTATCTTCTAACACCATCTGAAGTCCATTATTGAAAGCTCGACTTCCCAGAAGGAAAATGTCAAATAAGTAAACTCGACTACTTGTTGCCACCTATTAAAAAAACCATCCAGACACATGAACCCCAGGACTGAATTGTGGAGGAAAGGGTTCAAGGATTGAATAATAGGAAAGATGTAACAAAAATTTGATATCCATGCTTTTATGCTATGGAATGTGTTTATAAAGATTTTTCTAAACAGGTTTAAAATTACTTGAGAAAGGACCCACAAATAATCTGGGTTATTTTCTTTGCCTTTTTAAAAAAATAATTTATTTATTGTTAGTTTTCAATATTCACTTCCATAAGATTTTTTTTTTTGGTGAGGCAATTGGGATTAAGTGACTTGCCCAGGGTCACACAGCTAGTGAGTGTCATGTGTCTGAGGCCAGATTTGAACTCAGGTCCTCCTGACTCCAAGGCTGGAGCTCTATCCACTGCACCACTTAGCCGCCCTCACTTCCACAAGATTTTGAGTTTTAAATTTTCTCCTCTTCTCTTTCTTCCTCCCTCCCCGAGACAGCGTGAAATCTGATACAGGCTGTACATACACATTCATATTAAGCATATTTTCCCATTAGTCATGATATAAAGAACAATTAGATCTAATGGGAAGAACCACAAGAAAGAAGCAAAACAAAACAACAAAAGAAAAGGAGAACAAATAGTATGCTTCCATCTGCATTCAGACTCCAGAGTTTTTTTCTCTGGATGTGGATAGCATTGTCCATCATGAGACTTTTAGAGATGTCTTAGATCCTTGCATTGCTGAGAAGAGCTAAGTCTATCAAAGTCAGTCATTGCACAATGTAGCTGTTGCCATGTTTTCCTGGTTCTGCTCATTTCACTCAGCATCAGTCCATACAAGTCTTTCCAGGTTTTTCTGAAGTCCACTCGCTCATCATTTCTTATAGCACAATATTATTCCATTACATTCATATACCACAACTTGTTCAGCCATTCCCCAACTGATGGGCATCCCCTCAATTTCCAATTCTTTGCCACCACAAAAAGAGCTGCTATAAATATTTTTGTACATGTGGGTCCTTTTCCCATTTTTATGATCTCTTTGAGATTGCTGGACCAAAGGGTATGCACACATTTATAGCCCTTTGGGAATAGTTCCAAATTGTTCTCCAAAAGGGTTGGATCATTTCACAACTCCACCAATAACGCATTAGTGTTCCAATTTTTGCACATCTTCTCCAACATTTATCATTTTCCTGTTTTGTCATGTCAGTCAATCTGATAGGTGTGATGTGGTATCTCAGAGTTTTAATTTGCATTTCTCTAATCAACAGTGATTTAGAGCATTTTTTCATATGACTACAGATAGCTTTAATTTCTTCCTCTGAAAACTGCCTATTCATATCCTTTGACCATTTATCAACTGGGGAATGACTTGTGTTCTTATAAATTCAACTCAGTTCTAATCTGGGCTATTTTCAAAGGAAAAAGATAAACATAGTATCTATATACATAACCTTTTCTCTGTAAATATTCAAATCCCATCTATGTTTTGATTATCTACCTTCAATAGTCTAGTAATCTTTTCCACAAAGATTTAGAAGGAATGAGGAACAGAATGTAATTGTCACTAGATAATAACGATATACCAATATGAACACAATATTATGCTAGATATCTATCACCTAAAGCTTCACAAGCCAAAAACTCTTATTTATCCAGATGCTTACATTTTAAATGGGCAACAAAAACTGGACAAGTGTCAATAAAGTTCACAATACTCTGAGGTAGATAAATCAAAAAGGGATAAGTTGGTTTTAAAGAAGTTTCAAAGAAATCTTTTGTTTACCTGAAGCCAACAGAGTTTCCCATGACGACATAAATTAACTCCTTCTGCCGCTACACTCAGGACACTCTGTTTCTTGATGTGCAGCATCTAGTAACAACCAAAAGAAAACTGTTCCTGAAAACTCTCAGGCTAATCAACAAAGGAGAGGGATATTAGTAGGACTCAAGTTTTAGCAATGAAAGAATTTTCACATAAAATAAACATCTGCAGTTTGATGAACCTGTTATCTTATAAAAAATTTGCCTTACCAAACCTGCATTAAGCACTACTTATTTCAGGGGTGGGGACCCTGCAGCCTGGAGTCCACATGTGGGCTTAAGGCAGCAAGTTTCCCATCCTTGACTTATTTTCTTCACTGGTAAACTCAGCAAAGAAATCCTAGCCTTGGAAATTAACTACATTTACAAGTCAGAATAAAAGGAATAGAAACTGGTACAGCTCCCACTAGCACAAATGCTGTAGCTGTTTTTGCAGAAGAAATTTCAAGATTTATCAATTTCAAATTCTACAGTGCTGTTACTTATAGTTGTATATTGTCTTTCTTTGTTCAGAGGACCTGAAAAGCTCTACATGAAGGCAACATAACATGATACAGTGGAGACAGCACTGGATTTGGAGCCAGAGAACCTGCAATCTAATCCTAGCTTGTTCATTTATTCTTTGTGAGACTTTGGACAAATCACATAATGTCTCAGAAATGATTTCCTTCTCTGTAAAACTGATAGGGGAAAGAAGAAAAGAAGGCAAGATGATTTCCAAAAGTCCCTTTCAGCTCTAAATCTATTATGATAATAATGACAAGGACAAAATTTAAAACATGTCTTTTTGTTGAGTGACTGAAGAGAACAGAATTGAGAATAGAACCAAGTCTCTTCAAAACTAGTACACTGCAGAATGGACTCATGCTTCGGGTCTGAGGGCCTGGACCTCTAAGATCTTTTCCAACTATAAGGTTCTATAAATTTCAGGGTCCTTTTATTAATTATTAAACTAAAATGAACTCTTTGACCCCTAAAATTTCTCAAATTAACTCTTGAAAAAATAGGAAATAATCAATGGACAAAACTATCTAAAATATTGCAAAATTTTGACCAGTGATGTTGAAATCTATGGCATAGAAGAGATGACAAAGAGTTTTAAGTAATACTTACAGCAGAACCAAACTTTTGTTGGAACTGATTAACTACTGTGTATGTCACATCTTCTTCCTCTGAATGAGAAAGACAGCAATTACAGACAAATCTCTCTTCACCAATGGAACTTACTCTCCAATTCTGGCCATATTGGTAAACCTTTCCCTTTTGCAAATCAAATCCTAAAGAATCTTCATTATTGTCTGTCAAAACCTATCTACTAACCCCACATCTGTACTTTGAACATACAGGCACAGGAAAGAGAATACCAGTGACAATTTCCTCTGATATTTCAATGCTTTCATCCTTGTAAAGAAGCCTAAAAAATTCTCTGGTCTAAGCCCTGACTGTGTTAATTTCACAATAATTCTTGCAATAACAGAAAATAATCTAGTCTTAAACAAATTTGGAAGACAGCATATGAACAAAAAGTCTATATCTTAAACAAATGGCTATCCCATCCATCAGCTGGCATGTCGTTGAGTCATTTTTTAGTTGTGTCCATAAGTCCATTTGGAGTTTTCTTGGCAGAGATACTAGAGTGGTTTGCAATTGCCTTCTCCTGCTCATTTTACAGATGAAGAACTGAGGCAAACAGGGTTCAGTGACTTGCCCAGGCTCACACAGCTACTAACTGTCTGAGATCACATTTGAACTCAGGAAGATGAGGTCCTAACTCTGGGTCCTGCACTCTGTACACTATGGCACCACCTAGATGCCAGTTTGTATTATATATTTAGCTTCTTTTCAATACCATGTTATTTTATTATGTTGATACCCAGAGAAAATGATGCAGATTAAAATTTTTGGCCTAGAGAACAGATAAGAAAAATCTACCTCCTTCCCTTCATTTTATAGATGGGGGGATGATGGGGGTGGCCTGTTATGTATGATACCAGTGTCACTTGGTTTTGATTTTTTTTAAGTTTATTTTAAACGTAATAAGAAAAGGAAAAAATTGCCGGGTACACAACAGAACATGAGAGGATTCAATATAAAGCAATTAATTTCCATTTCAAGAACCTATATAATAAATACTACACATTGTTTTCAAAGTTGTCCAGCTTTTCTTTGTTTTCTTGTCGGTTTTCTTTTGTTCTTTGATGTATACTTTTACTTTTTTCCCTCCCCCTCAGAAGGCTACAATTAAACAAGGATATTTATATGTGTATGTGTGAGTGTATATATGTACATATATACATATACACATATATATAATACATATAAATGGATATCTATAAACATACACATATACACTTATATACATGTATGTAAGACCATACTGTGCTTATTTCTATTTGTCATTTGTTTCTCTGAAGGTGGATATCATCTTCTTTCATATGTCTAAGACTTTCCATGTTTTTCTAAATCAAGCAGCTCATCATTTCCTACACTACAGCCATATTCCAACCCAATCCCATTCTATCTGAGAGACTGTCTATGAAAGTTTTTTCCCAAATTTTCTGCACTCTTTCTATCCTTGGCTGCATAGGTTTTATTTACATAGAAATTTTTAACTTAAAATAATCAAAATTATCCATACTATACTTCAACAATGCTCTCACCTTATAATATGGTTTAAGGTCTATTATTACTGGATCTGCTTCCTTTACATCTTTTTCCCCTGGTTTCTTTGAAGTTCCTGACCTTTTGTACTTCTAAATGAACTTTGTTACTTGGTTTTGATTTTTTAAAAAATCTTTTGTTGTACACAGTAACAGCCTCATTGTGCAATGACTGACTTTGATAGACTTAGGTCTTCTCGGCAATGCAAGGATCGAAGACAACTGGAGACTCACAATGGAAAATGCTATCCACATCCAGAGAAAAAACTCTGAAGTCGGAATGCAAAGGGAAGCATACTATTTGTTCTCCTTTTCTTTTGTTGTTTTGTTTTTTTCTTTCTCATGGTTCCTTTCATTAGTTCTAATTCTTCTTTACATCACAACTAATGTGAAAACATGCTTAATATGAATGTATAAGTAGTCTATATCAGATTGCATGCCGTCTTGGGGAGGGGGAGGAAAGGGATAAAATTTAAAACTCAAAATCTTATGGAAGTGAATGTTGAAAACTAAAAATAAATAAATTAATTATTTTTTAAAAAGCTTTGTTAGAAGAGAAGGATCATCGGGGAGAGAGGAGGATTCCATGCTTTCATTGGGACAATCAACACTAGGTCAAATCCTGAAAAGTCTGAAGCCATAATAAACCTCATTGTAGAAAATTCATAGTACCAGATCCTGCCTTCCAGGCCCACTATCAATTAATTACCTGATGGACTGTATTTTAAGTCATTCAGCAAGGTGATAGTATGTGACTCAAGGGAAGAAGAAGCTGAATCATTCATACTCTGGTCTGCTTCTTGCACTTTGTCCATCCTTGTTCCTTCTGTATTTAGGCTATCCCTACATTAAGACAATACTCAGAGGTATTTATTCTCTACTACCATTGACATATATAGATTTTGCTTTATATCAGTAGTATAGCACTGCAGACCCTATAAGGGTAATCTTGCCTTAGCACACCTGGCATACAGCAAGTGCTTAATAAATGCTTATTGACTAACTGAATTTAATAAAAAGGACCTAGTTCTTTTGGATAACTCTCTTAAGAAAAATTACCTACAAAATGGAAAAAGCCACCCCCCACATTCCCTGTAAATTTTTCTTACATCAAAACAACTTTTCAGACAAGTTCAAGAAAAATTTGGCTGATAAAGTACAGGAAAGACCTTTTACCCTGACCAAGGTTACATTAATGAATATATTCCTGAAACACCATGATTAAAAAAAATTATTCCTTCTTCATACCTGACAGAGGCTGTCTTTTCTCCTACTCCTTGTTCCACATCATCCAGCAGTTCCACTAAAAAAAAAAAGTTTCCAATAGTTCCCCGCATAGAATCACCATAATCCCCTCAAAAACAGACCCTGATCATGTTACCCTACACAAGAAATAAGCTTTGAGAAACATAAAGTTTTATTGATGCCTTTTTCCCTTCTGTATATATTCCTCTTCTCTTCCCAATAATCCTTCCCTTCTAACAAAGATTTTTTTAAAAAATCAAAACCAAGTGACACTGTCTATTATCATATGTAAGAGGCCATAATACATACATCTATACAATGAAGGGAAAGAGGCAGATTTTTGTATCTATTCTCTAGGCCCAACTTGGCCATTATTATTATTATAGTGTTCAGTTTCATTTAAGAATTACACACTTATGCACAGTTACCAGAAAGAAAGAACGAGTCACAATTACAGTCAGCTCCAAATTATTCACATGGTCCAAGGATCATTTGCTCCCTTCGATGCTATGTTCTTGGACAGCTTTTCAGTTTTCTCAACAACAACTAGGATCACTCTGTTGTTCTTTCCTCCTGTTGGCCCCGTCAAGGCTTTTGTGGTCACTCAACTGAGTTTTAAGGCCCTTTCCTTTTATTTACCCACCACATTTGCTAAGTCATCCTCTCTTATATTACAAACTTTTATATTACCTTATTTCAAGTTATCCACGCAAGATTTTGCTCCATTAAAAAAATAAAAATTTAAAAAAGATTTCTCTCCATTAATGTAGACTAGTGAATTACCCCTATCAAAACTATTCTTTTCAGAGTTTACCAAATGCTCTACTAGTTACTAAATCCAATGGCCTTTTCTTAATCTTCCTCTTCCACGATTATTTCACAGCTTTCAGTAGTCATGATTAATTCCTCCTTCTGGATTCTTTCTCTTCCCTAGATTTTCATAAACTCACTTTCTCCCTGTTCTTCTTTAATCTGTCTGACCATTTCTTCTCACTCCCAACTAATTTATCATCCTGCTCCCACAGATGTTTCCTAGGGCTTTCTGTCTTGAAGACTTTTTCTGCTTATTATATATTCTCTCCTTTTATGTGATCTATTCTCGAGTAAATCACACACAGCCTTACTATTGCTCCTAAACTTTCGTTCTGCATCTTCAACAGCCTATTAGCCATATCCACCACTAGCATTTCAAATTCAGCATCTCTCAAAATGAATTCTTTATCTCTCCTTTCCCTCCTCTTCTAAACTTCCCCATCTCTGTACTCAGGTTCAAAATCTTGGAGTCATCCTTGACTCCCCTTCTTCCCTTATCCCTCAAATATAATCAGCTGCCAAATCTAATGGATTCTAGCTCTACAACATCTTTCTTCTCTCTCTTCCTTTTCTCCATTAATACAACTATCACTTTACTTCATGCCCTTATTACTTCTTGCTAAGACCATTACGAAAAGCTCCTAGTCTTCCTACTTTCCAGTTGCTCTCTTCCCTGATATAATTGCCACAAAAAAAAAAAAAAGGTTTTAAGCCATAGGCTTGACCATGTTATTCTTCTGGTCATAAATGCTTAGTAGACCCCTTACTGCCTTTACGATAAAATGCAAACTCCTTGGCCTAAAAATTAAGACCATCCCCACTACCATCCAATTTCTAGGCTTCATTCACTTTACCTCCATTCATATTTCAGTCAAACTGAATTACTTGCTATTTCTCTGAACTCAACATACTGCCTCCCACCTTTGTGTAGCTACACAGGTCATAACACATAGTGGAATGCCCTCCATCTCAGTTTTTTTAGAATTTTTATCTTCCTTTAAAGCTCATCTCCTCTCATGAAGTATTCTCTAATCTACACACTAAAAGTATTCTCTTCCTTTGACCAATTTGCTATCACTCCCAATCTGGTACCACATTTAATCTGTGTACACATATTTAATCTCTTCCAGTACAATGTAAAATCCTTGAGGGCAAGAATGTTCTCATTTCTGTTTTTATTACCTAGATACTGAGGCACTTAATGAACTTTTGTTGAATTGAATTTAACAAATGTACAGTGAGAGTCTATGAAACAATGCTTCAAGAAAGTATAAAAAGGTAAAACTAGGAATTCTGTTGGCTTTATGGGAAATTCCAGTGGTTTTATGTTTAATGAAATTTCCTTGGGTAGTATGAAAGCATTTCACAATATTTCTTTTAAAAATATATTATCAAGAGTATAAAAAAATTATAATAAAATAAAGCAATACTACCCCTTTATTCCTAATATTGGAGAATCAAACTTCAGTTTACTAATAGGGCAAATATCAGTCTTACTGTTCAAGATGAAACACTCACCATTCACAATCTCATGGCCAAAAAACATCTTCACTCCTGGGACGCTTCGGCCAGTCTCCAAATTCTTGACTACATTTTAAAAAAAATTATGTTAACAAAATATTATATATTAACAAGAATAATGAAACTGCCCCAAATCTACAAAATGCCTTGCTTCTTACAAGCTTAAATCTAAAAAGTACTATCATATTATCTCTTAGAAGAAAAGTTAAAAGTGAAATTAAGTTACAGCCTTGAAACCTATAATACAGAAAACATAGTAATCCCATAATATACCAATAGGAACTAGACAGACTGGTAGTATTGTAAAAAATTTTGATACTCAGGGGCAGCTAGGTGGTGAAGTGGATACAGCACTGGCCCTGGATTCAGGAGGACCTGAGTTCAAATGTGGCCTCAGACACATAACACTTACTAGCTGTGTGACCCTGGGCAAATCACTTAATCCCATTGCTTAGCCCCAAAAAAAGAAAGAAAAATTATAATACTGTTTTAGACTCTTTTCTAGGTCAAAAACCCCTTAAAGGCAATCTGTGCTCAATTTTGCAACATTTTCCCATTTTATACTTTTTTATTTGTTTGTTTGTTTTAGGTAATTGAGATTAAGTGACTTGCCCAGAGTCACACAGCCAGTAAGTGACAAGTGTTTGGTCTGAGGCCGGATTTGAACTCACGGTACTCCTGACTTCAGGGCCAGTGCCCTATCCAGTGCGCCACCTAGCTGCCCCCCCCCTTTTTTTTAAGATATAAATTTATTTATTTTTAGTTTTCAACATTTACTTCCACAAGATTTTGAATTCCAAATTTTCACCCCAGCTTGCTCCACCCCAAGATGGCATGCATTCTGAATACCCCTTCCCCTAGTCTGCTCTCTCTTCTATCTCTCCCCCTCCCCTTCTCTTATCCCCTTCCCCTTCTATTTTCCTGTAGAGCTGCCCCCCCATTTTACACTTTGCTAAGCTTACATAGTGCTAAATGTTCTTTGGGCACACAAATCTTAATTTTCATGAACAACCATCAGGTCAAATCAGAGATATGAAATGTGGATGGGTAAAGAAAAGAAGCTTCAATATCAGTTTTAAAATATTTAGTATTTTTTTGGATGGAGGAATACATCATAACATATAATACTGGCTGACACTGACAACACCCCCCCACCCTATACACATACATGCATGTCCAGGTATAAACTTGAAAATTCAGATAAGAAGTCTATACCTATCTCAGACAGAAGGAGACTTTAAACTAGAACTGTTTTGATGTAGTAGATAATGCAGGAAATTGCTTTGACAGTACAGATTAATTTTATAAGACTTTTGATTTGTATAGACTTATTTGTATAGTTTTCAAAACAATTTTATATCTATGATCTCACTTGATGCCCATAATAGCCATGTAAGTTTTTTCATAAACTTCATGTTGCTAATTAGGAAATAGGTCTCAAGAACATACCCAAGGTCATACAATCATGGCAGAGGAATTAAAACCCAGATTTTTTTTTTTTACTTTTAGGCAATTGGGGTTAAGTGACTTGCCCAGAGTCACACAGCTAGTAAGTGTCAGGCATTTGGTCTGAGGCCAGATTTGAACTCGGGTCCTCCTGACCTCAGGGCCGGTGCTCTATCCACTGCGACACCTAGCTGCCCCTCAAATCTTACGATACTAACCACAAATCTCTCCCTACCATATTACCCTTCAGAACAGAGGTACTTCTCCAGCTAATATAATATCTCATATTTATAGCTTATATAAACCTTAAGATTCACAAAGTGCTGATAATACAGGTACTATAACCCCTTTCATAAATGAAGTACTGAGCTTCATTTTGTGTTTTCCTACTATGAACTGTGCTCCACTATGCCTCTTACAAATGGACTGTGTTCCAAAAGTTCATTTGTAAATACACTTTGAAATTTGGAACTCACTTTTCCACAGTAATCATGTTATAGCTAATATGGAAATTAAAGCCACAAAAGCCTATGTAACACCTATAACATGGAGAAGGAAATGGCAAACCACTTCAGTGTCTTTGCCAAGAAAACCCCCAATGCGGTAAGGAAGAGTGGGACACAACTAAAATGACTAAACAACAACAATCATAAAATATGGCCGAACCAATAACTAAATATCATTAACTATGTGGTCTCTACAGGAACATATGTTCCAAGCTGCAACTTTTATCTCAGAATGCCTATGAGCAGCACAAAGGGACTCTCCTCCCATCACCCCTTCTCCAAATTCAGGTTCATTGGAGACAGAGAAAAGTTTTCTTACTGTAGAAGCATCTTGGGAAGGGAAGTCCCCTAAAATAGCTGCTATCCTTAACAATAGGTGTTTGCATGCAAAATATATTCATGTGCAATAGGCATCTGAAAGCTAATTTCTAGAATCTCTGTAACTGACTATCCTGGGAAATACCTTTCCTACACAATGATAAGAGTAAATGTTTCCCAAAAACCTAAGAACAGTCATATTGCAAACCAGATAGAACTAGACTTGAGGGATTTAACACTTTACTAAGGAGTTGCCTGGATTTGTCATTTAACTAGCTGAGTAAATCTGGCCAAGTGAGTATTTCTTCATCTTATATTTCTTATCTGTAAAACAAGATAACTGGACTAAATTATTTCTGAGTTTCCTGAACTGAATTTTGATTCTGTAAATTTAACATTCTAGGCAAATATGAATTGGAATAAATTTTTCACTTTAGTGGAAAAAAGGAATATAGAAACACAGGCAAAAGTCTTACAGAGTTATGGGCTGTTGTGCAAGCCATTATATGCTACAATGCTCCTGTGTTGGGTAAAGCCATCTAACCTTCCAATTTCTCACAAAGTAGAAAATGCCTCAATTCCCAAATGATCATAATGGTATCATTTAAACTTTGGTTTAATGGCTAATGTTTCACTTAAGAGAACAGTAGAGACAAGACTAAAAACCAAACAGAATAAGACCTTTTTTCAGGACAATAATCTTGCTAGGGTCCACGTGTTGAAGCACTCCCTGGAAGATGCCACAGACTAAAGTTATTTTCACCCTTCTTCCCAGAATCTGGTTTAAGAAATGGTAATCACTGCTGGGATCCATCCTGTTTGATACTAAAGAGAAGTCTTCAAGCCTTCAGCTTCCTTAAATTTCTAAGCAGTTGAAAATCAAAAAGAAAATGTGATTTTTTGCTATTGGTTTTTCCTTTTCTTACATCTGAAAGAGACAAAGAAAAGAACAAGAATTATAAATTTGCTATACTTATTAAGTTCCTATTATATACCTGAGCAAAATGCTACGGGCTGTCTCAGGAAGTATGTAATGGTTCTTTGTAAGAAATATACTGTCACAAACACCAACGCAAAGTCATGCATTGGAAATCAAAGAATTATAGGAAAATTCTCCTGTTTCCTTAACTAAAACGTGAAGCAGACAGTACCTAAAGACAATTTATATGGGTAAAGAGTACTCCTTAAACAAAATAAAAGCAAATAGGAAAAAACTAACATTGGTAAATTGTTGTCCAATATATTACTAGTTTGCTTACTCAGTCTGACATTTAAATATTATAACTACAATACATCAATCTAGGGAAATAAATGGGTATCTCTGAACCTAATATAGAGTCAGGACTGCTTGAAGAATGTCGAATGAATGCTGACCCTGAACATAGAACATTACATTCTACCCAGCATGCAGCACAATCTCCAAGTCCTATATGTAAAAATGTATCACAAGCACAAAGCAAAGCAAAAGATCAAATCTTCAAGCAAATGATTTTTCTATTCTTTTTTTCGAGGTTAAATAGATAAGATTTACAAGTAACAGAAAGAAAAAAGAAACAGGAGAAAACTGATTCTAATAAAAGAGAAGACAAAATGCAGTTTCCTCCTATTATTCCCTCACTTTATTTGGTCTGTTTGACAACTTTCCTTTAATATGACTATGACAAAAATTAAGATAAATAATAAAATCACAATAGGCTTTTGCAGTTATATATTTTATCATGTATAACTTCATATCAAATAAAGCTGTTATTAAGCTGATGAACATAATTTAAACTCAACACCTTGAAGAAGTTATCCTAGATGTACAAAAACATAGGATTAAGAATCAAACATATACTTAAAATTTCAAGGATCTATGACTTAGCCGAGTACTCCCTCCACCAATGGAGACTACAAACTTCTCCACCTTAGTTGTCTCAGGTTGCTGTAACTGAAAAATGCATCACCCTGTTGCCAACTCTCCTTAAGATGATAATCATATAGTTTGGAGGCAAGGATACTGCAATTTTCCTAGCTTGGTAGGGCCTTCCAGAGCTTTTGTTCCAGTGGCAGAGAGCCTAGAAAATCTCCAGGTTCACCCCTATGTCAACAGTTGGATACAATGGAGCAGGTTCCACGAAAAAAATTAAAAGCAGAAGCCCATTTTTTTCCAACTATCAGGCTAAAAGGTAGCTTATTCTAAATATTTACAAAAACTTCTATCAATTACCTTTTTAAAATGGCTTAAAGAATATGAGACGCTTAAAAGTTTTATATGTAAATATATACTTCTAAAAAGAAGGGGAAAATTCAAATCATGGATTATTAGGAAACAAATAATCCTATGATCTGATGGATTTGCTGGTAAAAAGTAAACAGAAACCTCAGGAAATATCAACAATGAAAAGCTAAACTAAATAGAAAGCTGCAATTCAAAGCAATCAAGATTGAGTAGGTTAAGGACTGGGAAAACATCATAGAACCATGGATTTAAACCTGGAAGGTCCTGGATCCGACCACAATATTTTATAGATGAGGAATGGAAAACTTATTAGCGATGAAGCAAGCTTAAAATGAAATGCCTATCTTTTCCAAGGCTATCATGATTTTCCTAGCCCACCATAAAAATCTGCAATGCAGATTTCTTCAGGGGGCAAAGAGTTTTCTATCACTTAAAGAAAAAAAATGGTTAAGAAAGAGTGGCCCACTCTGGCAGGTGAAAACTACTAGCAACAAAACAAGCTGCTTTCAAGGCCTACTTGGGAAAGCATTTTATTATTTCATCGGTGAAATAAAGAAAATTGGTGGTGTGCCCTGCTGATGCCACAGAAACTCAAACCCTTTTCTGACTAAGGGAAAAAAGATTATTTCTACCATAGAGCGCTGGAAGGGGGAAGGGTATTTGAAATCCAAGTCGGTGACTACTCGAGGCCCAGCTAAAGGGCAAAGAAGACAGTTAAGAGGAGCAGGAAGAAGGGGTGCAGTGCGGGCCCCAAGTCCGTGATTCCTCGAAGCCACGAAGTGCTGGGGGCCCAGGCAGGGCCAAACTCGGACTAAGACGCCGTTACCCGGGCGGTCGGAGGAGCCAGGCCTGACTGGCAAGCAAAGAGGGTCCTGAAGCGAAGAGCAGGAAACCGGGCCGAGATCAGCCTCGCCGCGGCCCAAAAGTCAGGGTTCGGCCCCAGTGCGGCGCGCTCAGCTTCGACGCTCTGGGCGGACGCGGACGGCTCTCGACTGGCCCGCCCCCGCTCTCAGGTGCCGGAGCGTGCTCGTTTCCCCAAGAGCCAATCAGCAGGAGCCTAAGAGCGCGCACTGCCGGGGCGGGGGAGGGAGTGAGGCAATACGTCACCCGAAACCAGACCCCAACTCCCGGCTTGCAATTCTCTAGCAAAAGGGATTAAAAAGTATTTTCCCCCCCCATCGTCCCAGCAACCTGTATGCCGGCACTCGTAGTAAGCTTTTTTCAAACTGTAGAAGGAACCAGGCGTCGAGGACGCAAAAGAAAGGGGTTGCACTTCAACCTCATTTTTGAGGTCACCCTGTCAGGCCACCGCCGTTTGGATTCCAGGTGACTCTGCGCCTCAGACATTGTCCCTTTTAAGGCAAGCGACCTGGTTCCGGGGGGCGGAGTTTCTCCCTCCGAGAACTAGTCCCGAGGAAGGCGCGGCGATTTCACTCGGGGTCAGCGGCCGGCAGTACGGACGTCGGTTCCGTGCGAGGGGCTTACGGGCCGTTTTCGATTGGCTGACTCGCTCGGGCCGCCCTCCTCCTCGTGCCCGCCCACAGTCCTCCCTCAGGTCGGCCGAGAGTCTCTGTCTTTCCCTTCCTGACCCCTATCCCTTCCTTCCCTCTCCCCCTCCCCCCTTCCCTGCTGCTGCTGCTGCTGCTGCTGCCGCCGCCGCCGCCACCGCCGCCGCTGCCGCTGCTTCTGTCTCGGGAGCAGGTCGTCCGTCTCGGCGATGGGTTCTCGGGCCTCCACTTTGTTGCGGGACGAAGAGCTCGAGGAGATAAAAAAAAGAGACCGGCTGTGAGTCGGGGCTGCGGGTGGGGACAGGCCGGGTAGGGCCACAAGTGTGGGCAGGGCAGCCGCGCTCCTCCGGACCCCCGGGGACGCTTGCGGCCTCCCCGAAAGCCAGGCTTCCGTAGGCCGTGTAGGGATCCCAGCACCCCTCCCGCCCCAAGCCGCGGCACCCCCCCCCGTCGGTGGTCGGGGAACCTCGTCCACTTCTCGGTCAGCCCGGCATCGCGCGACACGTCGCCGCCGTCCACTCCACGGGCGTGTTCGGGTCGGCGGAGGGGTGGGCTGGGGCGCGGGGGATCGGGGTCCGGACCTGGGAATGCGGGCGCTCCTCCGCTTTGTCAGCACGTCTCTCGTCCTGCTCAGTGCCCGGAAGAGGACGAGGTGTAACTCCCGAAATAAGGATGCCCATTTGGTTAGTCCTAGCCCTACCGTTCTCCAGCCCGGCTTTAAACTGAGCAGTGCCCCAGACTCGGCGAGGCACGCTGGCTCTTCTTAGAGGAGACAGCCTGCTCCTGTGACGTTTCTGAGCAGGGACCTCAACCACCACCAGCTGGTGGAAATCAGAGATCATTGCCAAGCATAGGATGGCTGTCCACAAACCAGCAATTAAAGCTAGGGAATCCGAGCTCTGAGAAGTGACCCACGACCAGAACCCTGGCTAGTGTGATGAATCTAAGGATCTCTCCAGGTAACAACGCCCACCCCACCCCAAAGATCACCTTTATAAAAGGAATGCTTAGTTAAATCGTCCATTTGAGTGTAACAATGAGTTATCCAAACTTGTTAGTACCGTGTTCCTTGCTGCTTTAATTCCAGATATATTGACTTCTACAGCGATGGGGTGCCTTATAGTATGGCCTTTTGAAATTGAATGTGTTCTAGAAAACTCAGTGATACTTTGTACTAGAAGCCTTGTCATAACTCTGAAGTATTACTACAGGTTTAACCACACTGTACACATAAGGAAACTGAGCCTTAGAAAGTTTGTTATTCACCCATGACTACACAGCCTGGCTAGCTAGTAAAATGGAATTCAGACCTTCTGATTCTAGATCCAGTGCTTATTCGCCTATAGCAGGCTACCTCCTAAGAATTTTGTGTGAACAGCTGGCTTGAGTTTTCTAAATAAAACCAACGGGTAGGCACAAGCATTGACCCTTTAGTGACATCTACCCCCACTATTTATTTGTACTGACATCAGAAACAGTTCCTGAACTTGAATGACTTTTATGTAAAGCATAGAGGATATGGAATTGCTAAGATTGTAAATGTCTGATAGTTCTCTTGGGATAAGTAAAATATTGTCTTACACATCCTGACCAGGACTTTGCACAGCTTTGTAGACTCTTAGAAGTGGAAAAGGCCTTAGAGGTTAAATAATCCTATCTCCCACCCATTACAGGAATCTCTCCTTGTACCACATTCCTATTTGTCATCCAGCCTCTGTTTAAATAACTTCTGTGAGGTGAAGCTTAAGACTCAGAACCGCAGTGTTCTTGGATCTTGAGCAGGAAACATTCTTTTTATGACTGGTTCTAACTCTAGGGATAGAGACATGAGTTCTTGAGTGCATCAGTACTTTATTACATTTATTGACTCTGGCCTGTGGCCACATTTACAAACAGTTTCTGTCATCATGCCCGATTGTCAGTAGACACCAGGAAATAAGATCTTCAAACCTACCCCACCCCCTGAAAAACATGCACAATATGAGGAAATGTGAAAGAAATCAAGGAGTTGGAGAGAAGATCCTTCCTTTAAAGTGGGGAAGAAATAAGCGTAGAACTGCCCTCCCTGTCTGATTAAATAAAGAATATGGGGATAGGTTAAACAATCTGTCCTAGTAACTGCTTTAATGATACCTATCATGAGTTTCTGGATCTTATGATTCCCAGTTTCTCTTTTAGATTTTTACCCTCTGCTACTTGTTGCATGCAGATGTCTAAATCCTTAGAAAAAGCTTTCTTTCGGGCAGCTAGGTGGTACAGTGGAGAGAGTACAGGCCCTGGAGTCAGGAGGACCTGAGTTCAGGTCCCAATACCTTACTGGCCACTCCCACACATAACACTTACTAGCTGTGTGACCCTTAACCCCATTGCCTATTCCCCCCCCCAAAAAAAGGCTTTCTTTCCTGTTTATCAGAGAATGCCTTCAGCATGAAGGGAGTCTGGGCTTCAAAAGATGGAGGATATAAGTGGTGGGATAGAAATGGCTTCTAGTTCTCGTAGGAGTTAGTCTAGCTTGCTTTTTGTTAGAACAGGAGTATCAAATAGAAACAGATCTTTCGGGCAACATATTGACTTAGAAAACCACAAATTCACATCATGTAGGTGGTATACTTATTTATTTTATTAAACATTTCCCGAATACAAGTTAATCTGGAGAGCTTTGCCTTAAGTTTGACACCTCGGTGATAGAGGACCTGTGTGGTGACTTGAGTTCAGGACAAAGCCCAATGTTTCCTTTCAAACAACTTACCTAATTGTGGAGATTAGACTGGCAGATAGGAAATTTTGAGAGAAAAGTACAAAATTGTTTACATTTCTGCTAAAAATGGTACAGTACCTTCTCCTGAGGATCTACTGCATATAGGTGACTAACAAAAATATCCTTATTGAAGTATATGAAACTAAAAAACAAGCAGTGCTTAAAAGTCTCATACCCCTAACAACCATTGGAAAGAATACTTCAAATCGTTAATAATAAGAGAAATGCAAAGCACAGCAATGCTGAGGTTTCACTTCACAGCCAGCAAATTACCAAAGATTATTCAAGATGGGAATAGACAGTATTGGAGGGGTTCTGAAAAGACAGGGACACATCTGAGTTGTTGGTAGAGCCATGAATTGGTCCAGCCTTTCTGAAAAGCAATTTGGGGGGGGCAGCTAGGTGTCGCAGTGGATAGAGCACTGGCCCTGAAGTCAAGAGGACCTGAGTTTAAATCCAGCCTCAGACCAAACACTTGACACTAGCTCTGTGACCCTGGGCAAGTCACTTAATCCCATTGCCTAGCAAAAAAAAATAATAATAATAATGAAAAGCAATTTGGAATTAATCAAAGAAAATAACTAAAATGCCTATATATTATAAGCTAGAGATTTCACTGCTAGACATAGATATCAAGGAGGTTAATGTTAAAAAAAAAGTTACAATATAAATATTTATAGCAGTACTCTTTGTGGGGAATGGTTAATATTACTATTCTGTATGGAAGAATAGATTATTGAATACAGAGAAGCCTGGGAACACTTATATGAACTTATTTGAAGAAAAGAGAACCAGGGAAATGATATACACAGTGATGACAACAGTGTAAATGGGAAACTATCTGCTTATATTTGGTTTTTGTTTTGTTTAGAGGGGTTACCAGTGTGGCACATCAGCTGTCTCTCATCCTGCCCTTTTCTCCCAGTACCTTACTGGCCACTCCCTTTTCTAGTTATACATGGGTGTGAAATCTTTTTTTTTTTAATCACTTTTGTGCAAGTCAAGAACAGTTGCACACTCTTGAGATCCTCCTTACCTATCAGATATTTTAAGATAGTTGAAGAGCACAAATATGAGATGATCTCTTAAAAGCTTTACATTAGAATTGGAAACCATATTCTAAGATTTCCTTTTCATAGTTCTAATTTGTTTGGAATTTGTTCAGAGGGCCAGTTTAGCTGTTGCTCACAATTTGAGCCATTGGCGTTGGGTAAAATAATTCTAAGAGTAGTTCAGTATTAACCATTCTAATAGAAGTAGAGATTATTTCACTTAGCAAATATCCTGTGTAAACACTAATAAATTGGTATCTAAAGCCAAGGGAGTGTTGCATAGTGGCTGAAGTTGGCCTCAAAGACAAGACTCTTAAATCCTGCCTGACCTACACTGGCTATGTGACCATGGGGAAGTCACTTAATTTCTTAGTGCGAGTTTAGGCAATTCTTTTTAAGTTGAAGAGAAGGTACCTCTTCTTTGGGACCAAGCTTGGTCTTTGTAGTTTTGCAGAGGCTCATTGTTGCAGTCACTGGGTATATTGTTTCCCTAGCTCTACTTATTTACTTGCCATCGATTCATATAAGTAAGTCATCATGTTTATTGTTTCTTACAACATATGTTCCATTACGTTCATGTAGCAGTTTGTCTAGGCACTACTCTTTGAATGATGGGCCTCTTGTTTATTTCCAGTTCTTGATTACCACCACTAAAAGTACAGCTATAAATACGTTGGTGTGTGGGGAGCCTTTCTTCTTGTCATTGCCACCCTTGGCATAAGTGCTTAGCAATGGCATGTGTGAGTCAAAGGGTATGGACGTTTTAGTCGATTTCTTTGCTCATTGCAGATTGCTTTCCAGAATGGTTGGACCACAGCTCCACCCACAAGACAATAGTTTGCCTGTCTTTCCAGAACCACTCCCACATTGACTATTGTCATTTGTCATCTTTGCCAGTTTTCTGGATATCAGACAAAAATTTAAGAGTTGTTTTGATTCACTTTCTCTTGCTATTAGTAATTTCAAGCATTCTTTCTGTTTGTTGTTAATAGTTTGCAATTCTTTTGAGAGCTATTCCTTTGACTATTTCTGTATTGGCTTTTGTTCTTATGTATTTCTGTGAGTTTTCTATCTATCTTAGATACTGAATCCTTGTCAGAGCTTCGATACAAAGATTTTTCCTGCAGTCTGCTGCTTCCCTTCTTATCCTAGATGTGTTCATTTGGTTTGTGGCAAAAGCTTTTCAATTTTATGTAATCAGTATGACCTATTTTATCTTTTGTAATTGCCTCTATCCCTTGTTTGGTTAAGAATTCATCCCCTACCCATAGTTGTAAAAGGTACATGATCTGCTTTTCTAATTTTTTTTATGATGTGATCTTTAATATTCAGGTCATGTATCCATTTTGAATTTATTATGAAATATTTCGTTCTTGTATTTCATTTGTTTGCTCTCTCCTTTCTCCTCACAGTACTCTGTACATACCAGGAATTTGATAACAAATTGAAATAAATGTGAAACACATA